AAATATAAATTATTTTTTTCAGTTTATAGTTTTAATAAGGTCCACCAATCTCTAATAACAAGGATATTGAATACAAGGATGTTGACTATATTGTTATTTACTATGGTAAACATTTGCCAGAAAACAAAATGCCCCAAAATATGTTAAATAAATTGCAGTTGCAGCATCAAAGGTTACCTCCACTGCTCCCTACAACCCTGCTATTAGAAAGGTGTGATAGTGGGAAAATAGGTTCATTATATGTTATTGAGTAGAAAAACCTGGTTACCAAATGTATAATCTTTTTTATTTTAAAGAATAAAAATGTTTGCATATATGTATGTATGTGTATTTTACATACACACATACATATGTATACACACATATAGATAACACAGATAGAGAGATGGAGAAAAATACACAGAGAGAATTGTATCTGTTTTCTTTACTCTCAGCCTAGTTTCAGTACAGGGAAAATGCACTGGAAACTAAAAACTGCAGGAGTACATAATGTATTAACTACGATTGTCTTTGGGGGATGGGAGTGTAGGTAATTTTTACTATTTGCATTTTCTAATTATTTGGTAATTATATAACCTTACATTGCCTTTGTAGTTTGTGTGTTTTTTGTGTATTTTAAAAATATGTCTATTGATTTCAGAGAGAGGAAGGGAGAGGGAGAGAGAAAGAAACACCAATGATGAGAGAGTCATTGGTTGGCTGCCTCCTGCACACCCCCCACCGGGGATCGAGAGGCAACCTGGGCACGTGCCCTGACAGGGAATTGAACCGAGATCTCCTGGATCATAGGTCGAAGCTCAACCACTGAGCCATGGCCAGTCAGGCTGTGTAATGTTTTAAGTAAAAAAAAAAGTTTTATATCCAAATTTTCAGTCATTTCTAATAAAAAGTATATCAACATATTATTTCACCTTTAGCCCACAAATAAAATTCATGCCACATTTCTTAACATTGTAGAATTAAAATTTTCCCAGTCAATAAATATCACCCAATAAAATAAATCTTGAATAGTTCACTTTAATTAAGCATTACATGAAAATATGCTTGTAAAAAAAGAAGACATTAAATACATCTCAAATAGTTTTTAAACATCCCAAACTTAACACCAAGAATTGTGTTCACCTAAGTTAACATTATACAGTTACTTATAACCTATATACTTTAAAATAATCAAATCACACGAAACTTTAAAGTAAAAGAATTCAGAAGTTTCTGAGAGTTAAGCATTTATTTAGCATGTATTATTCTGCGAGCCAACGTACTTAGGAGGCAGGAAAATTGAGAAGTTTGCTTTGCATAGAATAAGCTTGGAAGCATATGGGTTTAAATACTTTTAACTGTAGCATTGCTGAAATCAGAGCCAAGATTAAGTGAGGAAAATATGTTTCCTGTACTAGTTTACTCTTGGGAATTATTTTGACTAACATGCAACCTTTCCCACTTGGTGAAATCTCTTTTCTCTATTGCATCTCAGCCCATGCATGACTCAGGACTAAGAAACTCCAGGATCTCCTCACACTATCAGTGGC